TTTCTAGTCTGAATTAATTTTTCTGTTGAGCCTTTAGTGTTCTTTAGTCCATATGCTAATTTTTTTGTTTTAATATTTTTGTCCACAGTCGTTGCATATTATGCATTAAAATCCGGATCAATCCACTTTTTAAACTTTAATGTTGCTTAGGTGAGCTTATCTAGAGGGTTGTATTCTCCTCGATCACATTATTATTCCATTTTGATACTTATGGTGGTACTTTCTTATCTTTGATTAGAGATATGTTCGCATTTGCATTCTTTTTTATCCTTATTTTCATTTCTTCATGCTATCTGCCCTTGTATGATTTTTAACAGGTATATGTTACCGAGACATGAGCCATTGTTAAATTTTTCTTCCTAGCACTCCAGGCTAATTAACCTTAAATAATAACGCTCTGTGAGATACAAGATTAAAAATAACTCAAATCTGCGTATTATATTGATTTCATTATCTTTATATAGATTTTTTTTCATTAAAGTAATTTTTAAACCAATAAATGCTTTTTTTTCTCCTTAGGATTACTTTGACAAAGCTCCGCTAATGACGGTGCCTGGACGCACACATCCCGTTGAAATATTCTACACTCCTGAGCCTGAACGTGATTATCTGGAAGCAGCTATTCGCACTGTTATCCAAATCCACATGTGTGAAGAAACAGAGGGCGACATTCTTCTTTTTCTCACTGGACAGGAGGAAATCGAGGAAGCGTGCAAACGTATTGCACGAGAAGTGGAAAGTCTAGGTCCAGATGTTGGCGAGCTTCGCTGCATTCCTTTGTACTCGACACTGCCTCCCAATTTGCAACAACGAATTTTCGATCCTGCTCCTCCTAAGAAGGCGAATGGAGCTATCGGTCGCAAGGTAAAACTTAGGTTCTATTATTAAACCATCCTTACAAAACAGTGGGATGATCTTGTTTTCGCAACTTGCTCGTGTTGTCATTGAGACTTATTTGGACTCAACTTGTCGGAAGACCTCTCCTATAGAAGTTATCATGATTCCCG